CTGCTTTGAGAATAAGTCATGCTGCATAGGACTATTCCTGTACCCTTCCCTAGTCACACACGGTTGAAATGGTTACTATGTCTTACGAGTGAGGCGTTGGTAAACTGGGAAATTCTGTTATTCCTTGTAAGAGTGCAAGGACGTTGTGACGTGTTATGACGAGGACTTGCACCAGGCTGGTCTCGTCGGTTGGGTTGTTGGGAAATTTAAGCACTCGATCGATATCTCAGCCTACTGTATGATACATTAAATCTACCACGGCAGAGTTCGTGTATAATTCTGTTTTCACAAAAGATAACAAGAGCTACAAGTTCCATATGGGAATCTATCGTTGGGGGTGCCACCCCCGGGGTGGTATTGGTGACAGTGGAACTGTGCAAGCGGAGATCAAGGTGATGCTGCCGTATCTTGAGGTTGACGAAGTAAGATACGGAATAGGTCGGCTTGCGTCCTATGGCGAGGTGGAGGTGCATATTTCTCCGCTGAAGAATCTGTCGATTAGTATTCCGGGAATCATCCAGGACCGTATAATGTTCCCGAGGAGGGAACTCATTTTGAATTTTCCACGGATGGCTAGGAACACATTCTGCAAGCAGTTTCCCATGTAAATGTCATCATCACATTAGCAACATTTTCCCCATTTTTATCAAACCCTAGGGAACGTTGTTTCTCAAAGCTAAATGGACCCCTGCTGGTGTTGCGATATATGTTTGCTTTCCTCAGCTGAGCTCATGAGTTTCTTCACTAATCATAGGTGTTTACGAACGAGTTGGGTTAGAAGTCCACAGAAACAGCAAGAATTTCGTCCGAAATTTTTTCGGAAATTTTCGTACGGTCAGCATGTGCGATTTTGATAATACTGTTGTCAACGTTTTGTTTGTAAAGAATACATTCTTTTTCCATCTGACATTAAATGTAAAATGATTTTCGGCATTTAGTTTGCTCTTGCGTTTGCCAGTCTCCGTCTCGATCACCATTAGAGATGAATATATGTTCGCCTTCCTCGGCTGAGCTCAGGAGCTTCCTCACTAATTATAGAAGTTTACAAACGACTTGGAGTAAAAGTGTTCAGAAATCAATAAGAATTTCTATGTTGTCACCAACATATGTAGTTGATCATGTGCATATTCCCACCGCACTGACTCTAACATTGAATCTTGCCAGATTGTGCTTTCCTCAAAATGGGTCGGAGAATCTCATACGACTTTATCGCCCTCTTGTTGTTAGCTGGGTTTATCGCCCTGTGTTATAATAGGACGACGGCAGTAGCGGTGGCGAAAGAGCGAACGCCGATTATTGGAATAGAAGCTGCAGTGAACAGATCTCAGTGGCAACGCGCTTCGGAAATGCTGAGAGAAGAAGTTGTGGCTGATCGGGGTCCTGAAATTGACTTTAAAATTCGCCAGGTAGTTTCGAGGCTCATCTGAAATGAATATAGTGTTAGAGGAATAGATGTTTCCTCGATGATTATAGAAGTTCGCACACGACTTGGAGTAGAAGTGTAAAGAAGTTTTGAGAAATTCTCATTGGTTTCTGTACACTTCTACCCGAATTTGTATGTAAACTTATATATTTAGTGAAGTCAGCGGAGGAGAAGCGACAATATATTCCTCCGATACTGGAGTTCCACCCGTTTTACGTGACGTGGCGTAATACTCTGTGAAAAACGCGATATTCGCGGCGCTATGCAGTAGTCGTGAAATGTGTTTTTCATATCACTAGGGTGAAACTCCAATGATTGCTTGTATAAAATCGTCTTCAGTGCTTCCCTTGAGTCATTGGTATTACAGCGTTGGTTTTCGAATGACGTCTTTGCCTGAGGCGTTCCCTTCAGATTGCATCGAATCTTCATCACCAGGCTGATAATCTGGTCAGGTTGTTGGATAGGGATTATGCTCTTGGTCACTATGCTAGGGTCACTCCAGCTGTACAGTGGGCGCAAAATTCTACGCATGTTTTCATTAATATCAAGTACTCGCATAGATGGAATAGTCCAGGTGGGGGGGAGGTCCCGGGTTCGATCCCGGCACTTGGTATTTTTGTGTGTTGTCGTAGGTGCGTTGCACGTTACGAATCCTAGCGTAGCGGTCTCTCCTTGTTGTTTTAATTTCTCTGCGACTGGGGAGCATTCGGGAGTGGTGAAACGGTATGTGCTCAGCTTTAAACTGGCGCATGATGTGGTGTCGTACGAAGAGGACGATCAGAGTAATTGGGGAGAGTTCATGGTTATCAATCAGGAGGTCGGAGGATCGATTCCTGACCTTGTTAGTTATTGCTTTACAAGCTATGTGTTTAGGCTGGTGGACTCAGTCTAGCGTTGGTCGGATGAGCGTCACACTGGAGAAAGCTGAGGGGAATTTCAGATGGCGACAGCTCGTGTTTGAGCCGAAGAAGGTAAACCAGAACTTCCAAACACATTGATCATGTTGGTGGTTGTTCAGCAAATCTCCTTGGGATCTGTTGGCCCATGGCTTGACCTGGCAGAGCGTTATGCAGAGGAAGTATCGACTCTACCATATCACGATGGATATCAGAAGTCGAAGCCTACTCAGTCGGTGTTAGCAGCATCTAGGCAAGAGCGTGTGGAAAAGTCATCTACTGTGGAGGAGGTTGCTCGTTTTGCAAGAGCAAGGTTAACCCCAAAGTTTATTCGTGTGTATATGCCCAAGTCGAGAGACGCTCCCTGGGTCGTATTGGTTCTGTCGGGGTTGTTCTGGACTGCGTTTATGATGGTGTTGATAACAGTGTTGAAGAAGGCGAATTACAGACCGTTGTTTAGTGAAAAAAGAGAATGATATTTCTAGTGAATTTCTATGTTGGGCAAAAGGGGTTCAGTCGGTCCTACGATAAGGGTTTTCAAAGATCGAGTTAATGTCGGGTACGTGCTCACTAGACAATCACCCTGAGGACATTCATTTTGAATTTTCCACGGATGGCTAGGATCACATATTTCAATCAGTTCCCCATGTAAATGTAGCGTTAGGAGCTTCTGCCCATTACTACTAAACACAGGGGAACGTTATTTCTCTAGACTGCATAGGTTATCGATGCTAACACGTAGTGTGTCCAAGCGTTGATTATGTTTCCAAGTCGCTTGTTCACCCGTTCATCCTCGCGTGTTGGTCTTCAGTGATTTGTTGAGTGAAAAGCTAAAATGTGCGAGTCTCCTACTGACGATATCTCTTCTATTCGTTCCTCCCCTGAGGTAACAGAATTGCCCACTGGCACTGCTGAAGGGAGCGTCCTTGAGCCGAGTTCTCCTACGACTGCTGGACTGTCTGGATGCTACTGTGAACAGCAAGAGTTTGCTACCTCTACGGTGAGGAGAAGTTTGACCGCTGCTAGATCTGGACTGGGTGCCCATCAGGTCTCCTCGGATGGCTCAACAACTTCGACAGTGGATGTTTCTGATGGACACTACTACGACGAAGTTCGAGTTTTGACCGATGCTTTGGTCGCTCTTTTCACTTGGCCTATTACATTCACATGTGTCGTAAGTGGTGGCGTAGGCTTTGGGATGAATACCGTTACTGCTGCTACTCATCAGTTTCTGCCTTCCCCCATCAGCAGGGTTGTTCGAGGCAGTACTCGACCCTTGGTGTATCGTACGACTGCTGTGGCGAAGGCCAGCGCGCGCGTGCTGGCTCGAACGCTCCGTACGGTGTCTACGAAAGAGTCCCGAGTTGTACGTCCCTTAGGCCGCTAGGAGATTTGAACGCATATGTTGGCTTTTTCTCGGTAGGTTGTAATTCTCTTCGCGGAGGTTTGGCTGCGCATCTGCGCTTTGATGACCACCAAGGAGATGCATGAGCTTGGAGACACTTTCTATAGGCTTTCTCTGGCCATTTTACAGGTCCTCCGCACGCGGAATGTGGAGGATCTACTGGAGAGCGTCAAGGACTTGACCGGTACAGCTTTCACGATTTATTGCAACTATGCGACATGGTATTATAGGTTCAACTGTTCAGCTCATCGGACAGACCTCGAAAGATGTTCAGAAGATTATCGACGATCAAAAGCGGGAGAAAGCGTTACCAGCTGAACCCACCAACACTGTCGCGCTCCCCTGTGAGCAGTCCAAGGCGACTCATCTCACCAATGCGAAGAGTGGTGACGAGAAATATAATTGGGATCTTACTATTCATATCGACCTAAAGTCGCCAGCTACAGTCTTACTTATTGTTCTGTTCTCCTCTGTATGGCTATGCGGTATCCTCAAAGTGTTGGAGGTCCTGTAGATGAAAGTTTGTACATAAGTTCAACTCGATTCCATTCACCATAATTACTATCCGTCCGCAGACGGATTTTAGAATGTACCAGGTTTCTTCTGGTGAGACAGTTTTTTGTTCAATGGGGTAGGGATCTAATTCGTGTCATGGTTAGCGTTGAATAGTTTTCAAGTATTAATCGAGATTTTCTTGTCTTGTGAATCGCAAGAACCAGGATTTTGGATCATTGTCCTCTTCTGACGACATTTGCTTAGCCATGTATTGATTAAATTGTATGGGCGTGTGGTGTAGTGGTATCACGTCTGCTTTGCATGCAGAAGGCCCCGGGTTCAAACCCCGGCACGTCCACTTTTCGCGCTTTTATTCAACTAAACGTGACTCCGGGCGAAGCGACGCTTTGAGACGCGTGCGTACTGACTACACCGCATTCGCATCAGTGCTGGCTAACCTCATTCGCCTCAGTCTCTGCTTTAGTCTTGAGTTAAGTTGGTTCAAGTTTGTTGCAGTTGACCGAATAATGGAAATTGAACTCGATCAACCGTCCTGTTTGAACCGTTCGAGTCAAGGCGACGGGGCGGCGCTCTACAGCCCACTTCATCTCTCTCCCCGACAGGGAACACCAGTCTCCCCTGGGCCATTACCCGAGATGCCTGGTATGGAGATCAACTTCCGCAACACGTTTCTGGAGGTCAGTCCTAAGCTCTGTGCTTCCATGCCCAGGCCCCAGACTATGCCCAATCTGATCGAGCAACTGGGGATGAGTGATCCTACGTATGTCGAGGATTTGGAGTTCGATACCGAGTTTGATACTCAAGATGGTGTTGGCTTACTTGACGAAGCTCATATGGAAAATGATGCGGGTGTGATGTATGGAGGGGCTTTATACGATGCTAACTCCTTCAGAGATGCCTGCCAGACTCTTCTGAGTGTCAACACTGGTGCTACTATTGGTCTCAATGAGAATCGCGATACTCCTCCTTCTCCTCCTCCTCCGATCGGGGGGCTTATGATTGAGGGGATCGGCACGTCTCTAATGCAACCTATCGACTCGGTTAGACATGGTGGCACCTACTCACCGTCTTCCCGCCAACAATATAAAGCTAACCGGGATGCGCATCAGTCAAACTCTGAAGCGCTACCACCGGAAATGTTAACCACGGTTATGCTGCGGAATATTCCCAACAAACTCAGTCAAATGGACATCGCTAATGCAGTGAAGCACGAAGGTTTTCTCGGCGAGTTCGATTTCTTCTATTCCCCGCTAGATTTCAAGTCTGGTAGCAACTTGGGCTATGCTTTCATCAACTTCATTTCTCACGAAGTTGCCGTTAGATTTCGACTCAAGATAGCAGGCTTACTACTGGCCCGATCAGTTGCCGAGGCGAACACATCTGGATTGTACTGGGATGAAAACAGTGGCTCAAAGGCCACTGTAATCACTCCTGAAGTCTCTGCTCAGCTGATGCGTTCCAATAAGCAGTGTGGAGTAGCATGGGCTCGCATTCAAGGGCTAGAGGCTAACATCAAGCATTATCGCAACAGTCCCGTCAACGAGCTAGCATCGGGTTACAGGCCTATGCTTTTTGCCTCCAAGGATTTGGTTATCAATCATCCAACTATTCCAGTGGGCTCTCTACTACCATTCCCTTTACCAGATCGCAGAGCCTCCAATGGTGGCAGAGCGAGTCTTACTGCATCGACGGCTTTCAAGCAGCAACACCAACAACACCAACAACAACAACAATCTGGGATGGTTAATCTGAACAAGATTTTTGTGGGAGGCTTATCGCCTGAGTCCACGAGTGCCAGTCTTGAGGAGTACTTCAACTTTCGGTTCCCCATGTTCACTGTGTTGGAGGCCGTCGTTATTATGGATCGCCGAACACGGGTTAGTAAGGGTTTTGGCTTCGCCACTTTTGACAGCAATGAGGCGGTTCAGAATATTCTTCACCCGCTCAACAACCCGCATATCATTGATGGTCACTCAGTGGTGTTACGTAGTTATACGAGCAATCGATAGAGATAGCAATAAGAAACTTGATCGCTGTATCATATCTTATATCGATGTTATTCATTCTGATAAGTTGAAGCCCTCAAAGCTGAAGTGGGTTTTCTCCACTTGGAATTTCTCTTAGGTCATCATTGTTTTCATCACTCACTACTGCCTTTCGTGGCACTACTATATGAGTAAATGTTGCGTTCACAGTATCGGGAACAACTCAACTCTACCTCGTCGGATAGAACACGATTCTCATGGAGTCGAATTGACCAGTCGGAGGGCATCTTGCAAAGCTCTAGTGTAATGGTTCAAGGCCTGCTACCACAAGGGTTGAGGGCACGCAAAGGCCGGCGGTACTCACTTGTACAATATCATCATCGCACTGCTCTCGTTGCTGAGCTTCGAGGACGAGATTGTTTTTAATGGTGGCCACCTCGTCGAGAATGAAAGTTTGAAACTTTTCGTCTCCCTTTTCCCGCAGTCTTTTACACTCCATTAGTGTTTCACGTAACTCCGTCAGTTTTGTTTCACGAGAGACTCTCTCCTGTTCTAACCTACCTGAAGGATGAGTTGCTGTTGTGGTGAAGCTCGGGAAGTTACCACAGTATTTTCAGATTTATTGAATATTTAGTCCGAATTCGTAATAATTCACCCATTTCCCTTGAAAAAAATGTCTCTAGCTTTTCGAATGGAGAAAACTTTCAATGATGTCGTTGTTTGAAATTGGTATGTTTTTTTTGAAAAATCCCAGCTTTTCCCTAAAAATTTTGGGTAATTTTTTCCGGAAGAAGTTGCACATTTGTGAGAATTCGGCTGAATATTAAATTGACTTGGAAGTACTGTAGTAGTGCATCAGCAAATGATCGCGAGTGGAATCACTTCTACCTATCAGTGATAAGCAATAGTTATGAAGAGTTATCATTAAGATGAGTGCTACTACCATTACTACTAAAATCGCCCAAATTCGCCATCATAAAATAAATGATATAAGTCAAATCACGAAAAGGTTATACGCACACACGTATAGCTTATACCGATCAAATTCAAACTACCGATGATTCTATCGTGAAAACATTACTAACAATGTGTTAACGAACGCTGATATACCTTCAGTGCGATACTCGATGTCGGCTAGTCGCTTGGCGAGACTAGCCTCTCGTTCTTGACGAGAGGCTCTGTCATTCTCCATAGCGTTATGGAGAGCGGACACGTCTCGAGCCACTGAGGAGTTCTTCTCCTGACATGTATACAACAAACTACTACTGACAGTCATTTTAGTGAATAACAGTGTAATTCTCAACGCTGTGAGAGAATATTCAACACGAATAATTGTCGTTTCAATACGATAATCATAAGCTCTCAGACTCGGTAGCTTCCGCACTGTAGTAAAGCGAATACTACGTAATATCATTGTTCCGCCCGTTCCTCTGTGTTTAGTTGTTTGACTGGTTGAGGTTGATGCTTACAACTCGTATAATGGAGTTTCACCCGTTTTACGATAAGTGGCGTAAAACTCCGTGAAAAACGCGATATTTGCGCCTTGCAATAGTCGTGAAATATGTTTTCCACTAGTGTTTTTCATCTCACTAGGGTGAAACTCCGATATACCATGTCAGACTTCGTGTATAATTCTGTGCGCACGAAAAAACTAAGTCGTTAGTGAATTACTCTAATTATAAAAAGTGTGATTACTTGTCGGGTTAAAATTGATGAACGTTTCACTGCTGACTCGTATAATCTACCATCGGAGACTTCTTGTATGATTCTGTTTCCACAAAAAAGTGTGAGCTCTCGTTAATGCGTCGACAACAGCTTGAGAACATTCCTGGTTGATAACATTCCTGGTTGAGAACATTCCTGGTTGAGAGCATTCCTGGTTGAGAATATTCCTGGAGAAGTCCAAAGTGTCATTATCACTGCTTACTTCGATATCCCTTATATAGCGTTCCCTTTCCGTTGAGAAATCTCTTTCCACTGCGGCTACTCTTTCCCCAATAGAATCTATCGTGCCTGTATTAACGAATGGCCGTTTGAAAACGATTGATAAATGAACTCACTTTGGAGCTGATCAAGACGCTCCGTGAAAAAGGTGTCCATTCTTTCCTGAGCTGCAGTTATCTGCGTTTCGAATATTCTGAAGGAATCTTAGGTCGATCGTGGTAAGATACGAGTCTGGCTAGGATGACCCTTTCATCGCCTTGTTGGCGTCAACGCGATGCTTTATCTCCGAATTGAGTGTTCTCTCAATTTTTCCCAGACTCTCTCGAATCGAACCAAGACGAGCTTCTTCTGAGTCCCGCCGATGACGTACTTCTTCTTCCGTCTGGCGTTCAATACCTGGTGGAAATAGACCTCTTTCGGACCTCAAGTGTATCTTGCCAAGTCAACCTCAAGATACCTGTTATTTTCTCTCGTAACACTGCTAGTTGTGATGACACTCTTCTACCCGCGGCTACGGGATCATTCGTCTCCGTTGGAGGCTGCTGAGCTCCTTGCATTTAAAAAGAACTATACCATGTGCAATCGAGTTTCACCCTAGTGATATAAAAAACACTGGTGAAAAACCTATTTCGCGGCCACGGCATGGCGCCGCGAGTATCGCGTTTTTCACCGAGTTTTACGCCACTTCATATGGAACGGGTGAAACTCCAATGTATGCGGACTCCCGATAAGTACACCGTATCGGCTGATATTGACATCAGCGATGTCCTACGAATAGGGAGTCCATGCTCGCGAATAAAAACTTCAATTTTGGGAGAGGGTGAGATAACTCAACATTGGAGTTTCACCCGTGATATGAAAAACACTAGTGAAAAAAATTCACATCGCGAAAAATAATTGTATAATCGTTCGCGAAGACATGAACGTTTCGAATTAACATGGAGTATCATGCCTCTTCACGTTAAACGTCCGCGAGCTTTACACAAGTA